CGAAGTGTGTCAGTACATATCAACAAACAAACACATGCACACGCACATGCAGATGGTGATGCCTCCAAGTTGACATTTGGCTACAACTAACCCAATCCGCGTATGCCTCATCAAAAGGAGGCGTGTTGGATACATGTCGACAGGTGAGTGGTTAAAGGGAGGACAGATTGACACGTTTCCACGGCAATCGAAGCCGATCGCCTCGGAGACAGCCTCGACAAGAGGGCTCGAGCGGAGCAAGAAGAGAGACCAGCCGGAAAAGCCACATCATCCACATCATCCACAAGCAAACAGTAGACCAAAGTGGCAAAAGTGCACAAAAACGACAACCTCAAACACACTACTCAACTGTGTGTGTTTGTGTGTGTGTGTGTGTGTGTGTGGTAGAATGCGACTCACCGGAGCTAGTTCCAGCTCGACAGTCGTGACCTCGTGGTTGTCAAGCGAGTTGGCCGCATTCACGTCGACGTCACAAGTCCCGTTGCTCGTCTCCAACTGGAGCGCGGGCGTCGGCTGGAAAGAGGCAGAGCAGGGAGGAGAGAGTGAGAGAGTGAGAGAGCCGACTGCGAGGCAGGAGACGCGAGAGTGGCTGCCGTCGAGACCGGACAAGACACACTCGCAAATGTCTCTCTTTTTCCCGCCACACGCTGGCAACAAGCGTCGAATGTCGCTGGCCGCGCCAACGTGGCTGAAGGCACCGCGTCGCGACTCGGCCGCCGCCAACAACGCGTCAAGTCGGCGCTGCGTTGTTGTCGGTCAGCCGGACTCGGACAAGGTGCCTTCATCCGGTCGCCGTGGCAACAGAGGCAAAGCGACTAGTTGTCCTGTGGACGCGAGATTGCGAACCGACCAGCGACAGTCGATGCGTGTGTGCAGTTTGTGACCGTGTCCGTGCCAGGGGGAAAGAGTGCAACCATTTGGAAAAACCATTTGCCCAACTTGGATACGGTTGTGCGGTGCGAGTGATGAGCACCAGCAAGGCAGCACAAGACTTGGCACGTTGCCAGACACTTTTCCGACACCCAAAGCAACCGGCACAAACACTAGCGCAAACATAAGCAGAACCGGTGGTACGTGTGGGAGTGGGAAAAGTGTGGCCACAACCACAAGTGGCCAGTTTCGAGGTGAGAGGAGATGTGACAAGATGAGAAATGAAAAAGTGACAATGCAATCATGTCAACCAACGGTTGTCCACGCACCTGTTCCGGTGGCGTCTTCTCCGGCTTCACGGTCTCCTGTGGAGGGGGGAAAAAGAGTATGAGTCGAGGGGGGTGGCAGCCCAAGTGGGGCCGGAGAGGAAAGACTGGCAAACTCACTTTGCGCACGAGGCCGCGGAAGAAACTCTTGACGCCCAGTTTAATCTAAACGGTGCGGAAGAAAGAGAGAGAGAGAGAGAGAGAGGCAGCATGAGAAGCAAAAGAAAGAGACAAAATCCGGTTGACAACAACAGACCGGCAAGGGGGGTGGACTCACTTTCTTGTGCTGGTCAATTGGCTGAAAGGGAAGAAAGGGAATCGGTTGAGTCGAGTGAAAAGTGTGAATTGGGCAAAGCAATGCATGGGCAAAAGTGATGCCCAATTGTGCCCAACTGTCGAGTGAACACACGTTTTGGCGGCAACGGCGAGAGAAGCAAAGTTGCCCGAAACTGGCCAGCCACGACCGACGCGGCCTGAGCACGAACTGGCAGCCGAATTTGGGCACAATCATTTGACGAGACCTGACCTGACCTGACCTGACCTGACCTTTCCACGCCACTTGACACAGCCTTGCTTCGGCAAAAGTTGTTCTCATCTCGGCCCCACTAGACTGCACTGCCTCGTCTGCATCACACCTCGACCACACATGCACACATACACACACAGACACACGGAGACAAGGACGCCATCTTGTTGCACATTCTTTCCTGTTGCCTGATTGGTAAGCCGCTTTTGCGTGGCGTTTCACATTTGTGGCACAGTTCATGTCACCGACCAGCCAGCACTCGTGGCAAGGTGGGAAAGCAAGGCTGTGTGAAATTGTGTGGAAACGTCAGCTACACTCATGCGCTTGTGCGGCACATCAACTGCCAATCCTTCATCACTTTTGCTGCATGCCATACTACTCATTTACTCATCTTCTCATTCACTCGTTTACTCGTTTAATCTTCTACTCATTTAGTCGTTTATTCATTTATTCATTTACTCATTTAATCAGTTAATCATTTACTCATCTACTCATTCGCTTGTTTATTCATTCAATCATTTACTCGCTTACTCGTTGACTGATTTACACGTTTACTCATTTAATCATACACTCGTTTACTCATTTACTCATTGGCCAATTGACTCATTTAGTCATTTTCTGATTTACTTGTAGCCTCGGGACTGTACTTACCTGCGAAAAAGAGACAAGCTCATTCTCTTTCTGCTCAGGCCCATTATGAGGCTGGCCATAAAAGTGACTCGCTACACAAGGACCAAGAGTAGAAGAGTAGAAGAGAAGAGGAGAGAAGAAGAGAGAAGAGGAGAAAAGAGGGAAGGATAGAAGAGGAGAAAAGAGGAAAGAAGACGATAGAAGAAGTGAGAAGAGGAGAAAAGAGGAGAGAAAAGCAGAAAAGGATAGAAGAGGAGACAAAAGGAGAGAAGGAGAGAAGAGGAAAGAAGAGGAAAGAGGAAGAGAGAAGAGGAGAAAAGATGAGAAAAGAGGAGAGCCGAGTGAACAAGCAGAGTGGGCCGGTAAAGAGCGAGATGGAGGCAAAAAGTGTGCTCAAGAGGGAAGGGGCCAAATGGGAAAAGGGGAAAAGGGGAAAAAGCGAAAAGGGAAAAGCGAAACGAGAAACGAGAAAAGAACAACTTACCGTCTCTTGTGGCGTGGGCTGGTCCGGTTTGGCCATGTCGTCCTCTGCCAGCAGCTCGACGTTGGTCACGAGAATGCCATTGGATCCGGCGTCCTGTGAGAAAGAGAGTGGGAATGAGCGATAACCGGTCAGGCGCTAATCATCTCTCCACACTCTCGCCATAAAGCCTGTCCTGTCGACGCGATTATAAAGCAAGCCTACCTCATCCGCCAGTCGGCTACTTTACCTACCCACTCTGTTGCTACCAGATCAGATCAGATCAGATCAGATCA